ACATCCTTGAATCATTATAAAATTATTGCAATCTACGAAGTAGGTTAAGAATTTGTATGATTGAGAAATATGATCCATCATATCCAAGCATCATACATATTAATTTCAACAAAAGACAGTCCAAAAATTTTGTACGAAGACAATGCAACTTGTATTACACAACTTAAAGGAGGTTATATCAAAGGTGATACGACGAAGCATATATCTCCAAATTTTTTTGTACACATAAGCTTCAAAAGAATGGTGATATTAATGTCCAACAAATTTGTTCAAGTGACAATGTAACAAATTTATTCACAAAAGCATTGCCAACATATACATTCAACAAATTGGTTCGTGAGATTGGAATACGTTGATTCAATTATTTTCAGTAATCAATATCAGAGGGAGTAGATATACTCATTTTCTTTCGCATATGTTTATTCCATTGGATTTTCCTAATAAGGTTTTAATAAGGCAGCTTTTATTTTTAATACTAAAAAAATAATTGTACTATTTTTCCTTCGTTTGATTTTTTTTTATTCCATTAAATTTTTATCAAATAACACATAATTCAAGGGAGAATATTGTGAATGATAAGTTTATTAGTGAATGACAATTGTATCCCGCAATTCTAAAAATTATTACCGTTGTATCCCTGATTCTTCCCTATAAACATAGAATTTTGGTTTTTAATAAAATACACATAAATCTATTAATTTCTCTCTATTTTCTTCTCTTCTCATAACAAGTATCTTGGTAACTAACGGTTGACCTTTCTTATAAGCATAATTTAGGCATGATCAAAAAAATGCAAATGCACAACATAATTTTAATACTCACTTGAAATCCAGAAACATATCTAAAATAATTCATACACATCTTAATTTGTGTCTAATAAATACAATGCGAGTAATATTGAATGAATTTTGAAAAATACAATGTATCTTATCCGTGATTGAAATCAAGTAATGTGGTTCAAAGAATGCAATTAAATATGCAAACATAAATAAAATTCTTGAAACTAGAAGAAATTTGAAAAACAAAAAAATTTTTGTCAACATATCTCCCCCATTTTTTATGTATACGAATCCCGTTTGCATTAATTAAAATACACGTCGCATTTATATATTCATATTTGTTTTGTTTGTTAAACATGCTTATCAAGTAGGGATGCACATTTTGTATAAAGATGCTGCCATGTTGCGCCCCATGGGCCTTGGCTATCAAGCACGTCTCGCATTTTTTTCTCAGAAATAGTGGAATTGGACCGAACCAAATAGAATCGGTCTATTTGGTTTTGTATCCGCAACTAAATGAGTCGATTTTGGGACAATGCATCAAGAACCGAATCTTCGATTGTGTTTTGATCCGGCTCTTGATACTGTTTTGAAAAATAGTAGTGAATTCGATTCTCCTGAATTTCTTTTATTACTTGCATCAAGATGCACTAAATATTTAAACACTAGACCCCAAAATTATCTCATGTTAAAATTTCATTTTTCTATATGCTTCTTCTTCTTTCCTTTAATGGTAATCAAAATTCAAGTATAAATAATTTTACAAATACTTTTACAACTTCATAGTTTTAATGCAACCCAATATGAAAAATATATTTTTAGTTCAATATTCATAAGAATTCACATCTTTCGTTGTTCCGAAAGTGACCGATCATTAAGAATCAATATCCTCGAGGATTACTAAAAATAATCAAATTATTGTTGTACAAATTTTCTTCAAACTATCTATACCGTTTCTGCTGTGTTTAAAAACCTGAGGATGATATGGTAAACAAGCATCAGTGATAAACCCCTAAAGTGCGTATTCTGGCATTTCTTCCAATTGGTACCCACGGCTACCTCTAAAAGAATCCCCAGTTTTTAGCCGTCCGATTTTATCCAACGGTTCACGAAAAACCCTAATCACGCCGTGCTTGAATTCCATATATGTGCTCTCCAGTTGCGTCACTCATTCCTCGTTCTCTCAGAAACCCTAATATCGCTTTTAGCAGTTGGCGGGTGAGAGAACAATCTATATTCTTCAGTAGGTCAGTCTATAACTCTGATTTTTTTAAACATGTTTATTTGCTCATGATTATGTAATTTATTTATATATATGTATGTGTATGGTAATGGATTTTTGTTAGTAGATCCGTTAAAGCGTTAATGTTTTCTAAATTCATGTTTCGCTGGATCGATTATGCTTAATGTCTGTGTGTGTTTTTGGTTCTTAGATACATGCTTCTTTATCTAGAACTTTAGTTAGATTAAATCATGCTCTGTAGAATTCCTCATTTTGTTTGAAATAATGTAATTGTTTTCATAGTTTAATGATAAAGCATCTGATCTGTTGGCGCTTTAGATATGTGGCAGAGCTCATAGTATTTTTCACTGTTTGTGGTTGCCTCTGGTCTTGGAATTTTTACCTGCTTTCTTTTAATTGTTTACATCCAAGTAAAATTCAGATAACTTAGTCAGCATAGTAGTTTTTTGATGTGTTTATTGTTTTACTGCTGCCCTTAGGAAAAATCAAGTCTAAAGTGCTCAAAATCATAACTTCAGAATCTGATATGAGAAGTTTACACTTGCTAAAGTTTGTTGTTTTACTCTTGTTCTGGGATTTTTAGAATTACAGAAGTATTTATTTAGAGTATGCCAGAGGATGATTTTCATTCATTTAGAAAATATATGTTCCTGATTGCATTTTTTATTGCTTTGCAGCATATTGAAACCTTAACATGGGATTTTTAGAATTACAGAAGTATTTATTTAGAGTATGCCACAGGATGATTTTCATTCATTTAGAAAATTTATGTTCCTGATTGCATTTTTTATTGCTTTGCAGCATATTGAAACCTTAACATGGGAAAGGAAAAGGTTCACATTAACATTGTGGTCATTGGCCATGTCGACTCCGGAAAGTCTACCACCACTGGTCACTTGATCTACAAGCTCGGTGGTATTGACAAACGTGTCATTGAAAGGTTTGAGGAGAAGGCTGCTGAGATGAACAAGAGGTCATTTAAGTATGCCTGGGTGCTCGACAAGCTCAAGGCTGAGCGTGAGCGTTGTATTACCATTGATATTGCCTTGTGAAAGTTCGAGACCACTAAGTACTACTGCACAGTCATTGATGCTTCTGGGCATCGTGACTTTATCAAGAATATGATTACGGGTACCTCACAAGCTGAATGTGCAGTCCTTATCATTGACTCCACCACTGGTGGTTTTGAAGCAGGTATCTCCAAGGATGGTCAAACTCGTGAGCATGCTTTGCTAGCTTTAACACTTGGTGTCAAGCAGATGATTTGCTGCTGCAACAAGGTGAGCTTATATTGAACTTTTAAAATTGTTTCTCGTGTAGATTTTTGTTGTAGAAGATTGTTATTAATTATAGTTACTTTTATTTTGTGGTCTATCTGTAGATGGATGCTACCACACCAAAATATTCCAAGCCTAGGTATGATGAAATTGTGAAGGAAGTTTCTTCCTACATCAAGAAGGTTGGATACAACCCTGACAAGATTCCATTTGTCCCCATCTCTGGTTTTGAGGGTGATAATATGATTGAGGGGTCCACAAACCTTGACTGGTACAAGGGCCCAACCCTGCTAGAAGTCCTTGACCAGATTCAGGAGCCCAAGAGGCCGTCAGATAAGCCTCTTCGACTCCCACTTCAGGATGTTTACAAGATTGGTGGTATTGGTACTGTCCCAGTCGGTCGTGTGGAGACTGGTGTCCTCAAAGCCTGGTATGGTTGTAACCTTTGGTCCCTCTGGATTGACCACTGAAGTCAAGTCTGTTGAGATGCACCACGAAGCCCTTCAAGGAAGTCCTTGCCCAGATTCAGGAGCCCAAGAGGCCGTCAGATAAGCCTCTTCGACTCCCACTTCAGGATGTTTACAAGATTGGTGGTATTGGTACTGTCCCAGTCGGTCGTGTGGAGACTGGTGTCCTCAAGCCTGGTATGGTTGTAACCTTTGGTCCCTCTGGATTGACCACTGAAGTCAAGTCTGTTGAGATGCACCACGAAGCCCTTCAAGAGGCTCTTCCCGGTGATAATGTTGGATTCAATGTCAAGAATGTTGCTGCCAAGGATCTCAAGCGTGGTTATGTGGCTTCCAACTCCAAGGATGATCCTGCTAAGGGAGCTGCTAGCTTTACCTTCCAGGTCATCATCATGAACCACCCTGGTCAGATTGGAAATGGATATGCCCCGGTGCTTGACTGCCACACCTCCCACATTGCTGTTAAGTTTGCTGAGCTCCAGACTAAGATTGACAGGCGATCTGGTAAGGAGCTTGAGGAGGAGCCCAAGTTTTTGAAGAATGGTGATGCTGGTCTCGGAAGATGATTCCAACCAAGCCTATGGTGGTGGAGACTTTCTCTGAGTACCCACCTCTTGGTCGTTTTGCTGTTAGAGATATGCGTCAGACCATCGCAGTTGGAGTCATCAAGAATGTTGATAAGAAGGACCCAACTGGCGCCAAGGTGACCAAAGCTGCTGCCAAGAAGGGTGCCAAGTGAGGCTGGATGGCATACTGTCTTTATCATTATTGCATTATTTGTTTTCAAAAACGTTTTTTTTTTAACATTTTTTTCTATTTTAATTTATGGTTTATTGATAAGCTTTTATCAAATTTTACCTGCATCTTTTGTGTGAGAGGACGTCTGAGCAGTGTTTGCTCAATGGACGGGGGTAAAAGCTATATCTTGTTGCCAGTTCTTTAGGATTTTTTGTGTAAGATGAGTTTGTAGCTCGTGTTTTGGTAGTTAATTTGGATTTGAATGTTTCGACACTGATATCATGTCACAGTATTCTTTATTCTACTGTGTTTTGCCAGCTTAAAATGTTTCTAGCTCAACGATAATTCCTCCTCGTTTTCTGATATTACACGTAATGTCAACGTAACATCCTCGTTTTGCCAATGATAAAACGTTTAGAAATCCGTTGTGGGTTCAAATAATTTTAAAAAATCAGGAACGTTATTTTAGAAGAGCAGAGGAGTAAACTACTTCATATATGAGTCAATTGTGATAACTGATAAGCATTTAACTCAAAAAGTTTAAAAACCTAGTAGGGGGTAATGTATAATAGTACAATCCTCCTTGATCAGTACAGGAACAAGAGGAACTTATTCAGAACTTACAACTAATACACAGGAACAAGAGAGAGAGAATCAAAACAAAACCGAAAATAAGATACATTGCTTTTACCCTAAGTTAAAGCATCACCTATAAGCCTCTCCTCTTAATTGAAGTCCGTTATTTTGTCATTGCCGAAGGTCCTGCTCATCTTTGCTACCTCTGGTGGTGCAACGACGGCTGATGGGAAGATTACGGAACCCGACCGAGCGTCAACAATATCATCCAGCCTCTCCTCGCTCAGTCCAAAAGCTTTTGCAAGTTCTGGCCCTCTTAGTTTTTTTAAGATAGAGTTATCCCCCGCCAAGAATTGAGGCCTGTTATTGCGAGCCGAGCTGGAAAACCCGAAGAACTCAAAAGGGCCAGTTCGCGATGCTATTTGGCAGAATGGGAAGAAACGCGGAATAAAGAATACGTCCCCTTCCTTTACTTCGGCATTCATGGCTAGACTTCCATCAGGAGACGCAACTTGAATTGTACCAGTTCCTTTCAAAACAATTCCATACTCTGTTGCCGTGGGATTGTAATGTGGTGCCATCATTGATCCCTACATCGAACAAATAACACAATTTTAGACGATTACATATATGAATGCCTGCATTTTTCCTACTTAACATCAGACAAACAATGTTGAGGCATATACCGCAGAGAGATTGACTAGGAAAATTCCCAAATCAGAATCGTCAAGGGGCGAGTAATCGGACTTGTCCAAAGCAATGCTCCACCCATAATCATTCTTGAAGTCGGGATTTCTGTCATAGATATTAAAAGGGTCCGGCTCGTCGCTTGAACCTCTTTTGTCCTCCCTTTCCTCGTTCTCACTTCCAAATATATATGTCATCAAAAACTTCCTCAAAGTCCACCTTGGTTGCTTCTTTTCTTCTTCTTCGCTGTCTTTCCCTATGTGCACGATTCTCTTCATCTCTGCCAGCTTCTGATAGTTTTCTAAGTCCAAAAATTTTGTCCTCGGCGAATAAGAAACATTGTGAAAGACAATTGGACCCCCCATTTGCCTTGACAACAGTTCCTCTACTTCGACTATTGAAACCTGTTAACTACGATATCAGACCCTTAAAAGTGAAAGGCCTCGAGTTTTTACAAAAAATCTAGCGAGTTTACTCACGTTGAGTGCCATTGACAACGTAAATCGATCAAAACCCGAAAGTACAGATACTGGATATTTCCCACCACCAATGTAGAAAGACTGCAATCACAGAAACATAGAAGAAATGGACTTCCCAAAATTTACAATAATGCATATTTAATCAGTATAGAGAAATCTACCTGGAATGGTTGTAATCCCAGGCTGTCTGAGGTATCGATACTGCAAATTATATGAAGTCTTTGTCCCTCTGCTGTATTATTTATATAAAAAGGAAATCCTGCACCAATCCTATATATATCTCCTGTTTCTAGCTTTTTCTCCACCAATTTATCTTTGTAGATATGCCCAATTTTTGCTTTCCCTAAAATAAGTTCATTCCGATTTAAGTTTCCATCTATTTTCAATTTATCAGAGATAAAACACAGAAGAAAAAGAGAGAAATGAATAGGTACCTCTGCGAACGAAGAGGACGAGACTGGAATCAAGGTACTGAGGGATGAAGAGGCTTTTGGGTTCCATAGTAATGAAACCAATATGCAAAGGACTCTTTATAAATCTCCCTCCTACTCCCCTCACCACCCTAACATCACCAGCATCAGTCTTCACAACATACTCAGAATCCTGCAACAGAAACTGATCCTGTCCTTGCCTCATCCCTGCTCCGCCCTCTTCCCCTCCACCAGCACCGGCACCACCTCCTGTTTCCCATCTTCTTCCCTCATCTTCATATGCGCCACCCACGATTGCCACCAGTGCAGAACACAGCACCACCAAGATCAGAAAACTAGATACACTTCTCTTCCCCATTATTTTTCCTCAAAAATCTTCCTCAAAATACTGCGTTTTTCTCAGTGTTCGGTGCAATATTTTAGAGTTTCGAGGTGCTTATGTAGATGGGACTGAGTGATGACAGGGCACAGGTGTCTATCATGTACGATAACGCAGCCTTGCTGGCATCTTATTATGGTAGAGACACAATTTGCTGGCATTTTATGGTAGGGACACAATTGAGATTATCATCACCAATTCTTCTTCCTATGATATTTTAATACGTAGCCTCAAATTTTCAGTTTCGAGAAAAAACCTCAAATGGAATGGCAGCATATGTCTTTAACAACACCGTCCATTTATCACAATGGGACCATTCAACAGACCCAATGGATTATTGTGATACGAGCACCAATAACTAAAAGTAATTAGCATAAAACATTCTTATCTTCTACTATGATTGTGCAAAACATCTTTACTGTTCATTTTTTTACATTTTTATCTCTATCTTCCACATTTCATTATGCAAAAGGTCATTTTTAATTCATTTTTGACGATTTTACCCTTCTATTTAAATAAAACAAAAACAGAATAAAAGAAAAAACAACGAACTAATTGATTTTTTAAGAATATATTTTTAACTCATTTATAATTTTTTGAAAATTTGGGACTTTAGTTGCAATTAGTTCTTTTTTCTGCCTTTTCTTTTCTCTTATTTAAATAAAATGGTAAAATCATCAAAAATGGATGAAAATGATATTTTGCACAATGAAAGGTGAAAGGTAGAGGTGAAAATGTCAAAAATAAAATATATAAACGTTTTACACAATAATATTAAAAGATAGGAACGTTGTGTGTCAATTACCCTAACTAAAACATACTCATAGACAATTCTTGCTCAACTGAGTTCAAGTCATTAGCATAGAGATAATTTCGATCCCAGTCCCCAGTCTTAATCCTCTTTTACACTTTTGTCTTAAAATATTTATTTCTTGAAACTGTTGTCCGTATACTATTATTCATGGTGTAAAAAGTTGTGTCGCATCCGATTTTATATGGATTCTTAAGCCACACTTTTGATACAAGAATTAATTTGTGATCCAATCCCCCCGCCCCACCACACCCACAAAAATAATAATAATAATAATAATAATAATAATAATAATAAAAAAATGAATTTGCTGAAAATTTACCACATTAAGCTTTTAATATTTTTCTAGTGTGTGTGTGTGTGTCTTTATATATATATATATATTCTAACATGTTAGGCCTGCTTAAATTTCTTTTCTTTTTAGTCCGATTTTGGAGGCGCTCCTGTTTTATAGCAAAATTATCTGGGCATGGAACCATGCTTCGTGAAACTAATCCATACATATGATAGTTTGTTTTGTTTATAAAGGCAAAAATTTCAACCATTTCACGGTTTTTAATGGCTAAATTAAATTTTCATACGATCTTATTAAGCCAAATACACAAGAAGTTCATAAGTCTAAGTAGATTATGATAAAAGTTGATGAAATATGAAATTGAAATGTTAATAAAAGCTGTTAATCTCATGAAATATGTGGTCAAAATTGAAATTTGCCCAAAAAATATAAAATCTTAACAAAGTTTTGTTCGAAAAAGCACTAAAATGAATAGTCAATTGAAGTTTGTATTGAAAGAATAGTCCTCACAATAGTCTCGCAATCTAGTAAATCCCTGAATTCGGGTGGTAAAAATGAACATGAGATTTCTAATGCTTAGCACCTATGCTATATGTATAATTGATCTTCTAAGCATCAACACTCGGAGTGATATAAAATATGTACATATGGCTGTCCACACCTCTCATATGGCCATCACACATATATACATATGTATGGCACAAGTGCTAAGCACTAGATGATGTGGCACACCACAATAGGTAATGGAAGTGTACCAAGTCACTGTTTGAAGAATACAACGGATTTTATTAAATTGTATATCAACAAGAATTAAATAATTTTTAATCTAGTTAACACATAAGTGTTTTAGAAGTTACCCTTGTAGCGTGCTTAAAAAAAGAAATCCTTGATCTTTAATCTCCTTGATTCCACCTTCAAGCCTCCTTGTTTGATTTTCTTAATTCTTCTTCAAATCTTTTGGCCTTCTCCAGTGTTCTCCAAGAACTCAAAAAATGGATGTAGAGATTTTTCCTTTTGCGTGTGGGCACAAGAATTTTATTTTGCATATATATTAATTAAACCCTACATATATGGATTTGATTCACAAGACTTTCAATCTCAAAAGAACTTTATCTTTCTGATTGGATAAAAGTATTCAACAAAAAAAGGAATCTCTTTTGTACGTATCCAAACCATAACCACCATATCTACGTCTCACATGCTTGACACATTTATATATATTTCTACAGTTAATAATAATAAATTATAATTCTTATAATTTATTGTGGTTCTTATTTTTTTAAGCCACCGGAGGGATCAAACGGACCCAATTAAATCAAGCTCCAATAAATAAATCTTGACTCGGTCAACTCTTGATCGGTCTAGATAATTTATTAATCAAGTTTTATTCCACTAAAAGAATATGATTGCACTCTTAATTTAATCGAAATTATTGAAGCTACAATAATTATATCCTCTGACATATTGCTCTTAAGTATTACCCCCATTAATCACGTTGAATATTTGGAACCGGGTGAAATGACCAAAATGCCCCCTTTCCAAATATACATTAAATTCTCAATCCCATTTTCTATTTGATAGTTCCATGTGATCATATCACAATATTAATTCAACAATCATGTCGAATTACTGAGCTCAAATTTAACCGTTCATTAAAAAATCTCTTGAGGTCATGATCATGCCTATTACATAGGTTACGGATTCATATTGTGAATATATGTTCTCTAATTATTTCACTTTAATTCCCAAGGCATTGAGATTTTAATTAGCAATTTAATCTCACTCATTGATACCTCAAAAAATTTCTAGTTAGTAATCAAAGTTCATTACTTGCTCAAAATTAAGGTACTACGTACAATAATCAAGTGAAATTAAATTCAAGTGGTCAATTCCATAAATTAATTTCACGTGGTCCAGTCCAATACATTTCAAAATGTACAATCAATTTTATTGCTAAAGTCGAGATCAACTTTAAATAAAATTGAAACAATCTTTTCAAAATAAAGTGTTCATCTTTATTTACCGATCGTGAACAATAAACTTCAGATCAAATTATAAATCAGATCTTTCCATGTTTAACAATTTAAACACTTGATTTATAATAATATCAAGGCGATCCATGAACAAAATGCAAGCTCAATTTAATATAAACAATTTATTGGAAAAACAAATTATTTTTTTTTTTCAAAATGTCACGAGTACAAATAAATTTGCTCGAAGGGCTAAAATTAAACTAACAATCACCCAAGTGCCGATGCTTAGAAAATTAGTTATATATATAGCAAAGGTGCTAATATCTAGAAATCTCACGTTCATTTTTACCACTCAAATTCAGGGATTTATTAGATTGCGAGACTATTATGAGGACTACTTTTTCCAATACAAACTTCAACTGACTACTCATTCATGGATATGAGTTATGAATACGCACTAACGAACTCCAACTATGACTTTAATTATGAGAGTGATAACTAGTCAACAAAATGTTACACACGTCGCATTGTTCTATATCCAATTTTTACACAGGGCAACGTCGAAATTCCTCACAAAATTTAATTCCATTTTGACCATTCCTTTATATGATCAAAATACAGAATTGTCCCTAACATTGCAGACCACCTGACTGCCCATAGAATATGTTTAAGGACATTTTCAGAAATTTCATTTTTTTATTGGGGTACATATGTAACATGGTAACATGTCGCCAATTACAGTTTTTTTGAAACAAATACATTTAAAAAAATTTCATTGACATTTGAAAAAAAATGAATTAAAAAACTATCAATCAAAAACTGTCAGACTCTAAAAAATGCCCTATTTTTTAGCCGCTTTCAACTTTATACTTTGAAGCTTGTCATGTGCACAGAAAGTGTATACAAAGAAGCCATATAGAACATACACATCAATGGGTGGGTGCGTGGGGGGGTTTTTTGGCATTTTTTATTACAACATGGGTTCCACACATGTGAGATTTTTCGTAGAATTTTGTGGAATAATTTTTATTCTTATACTTTTTACGAAATGAAAGTTATGGACAACTCAGAAATGAGCGACTTTTTATGATAAATCACAAAAGCTCCTTCACACATTCAAATGCAAAAGCAAGGTCTTGTTGACTTCTTAGCTTACTAGGGAAGAAACCTTAGGCTTCAAAGAAAGCATTGCATATTATGATAGCATAACCCTTTTGATATGAGTAATTTCACTGCATGTACAAATCACAATTCTTTTCTTCAATTTTAGTTCAAACTTTAAAGTAATTAAGATTAGAGAACAAACCAAGTTAATGACCTTTTAAACACTATGCAAAAAAATAAAGAAAAAATAAAAAAAAGGTTGACTGTATTAAAAATTTGTAATTCTTAACGACATAAAATCAATATTTTAAATTGAAAATTAAGCTAGAAAATAAATATAAGTTGAATAATTTTTAAACACCAATAATATGGCACACCATTTAATTGTTAGATCATTAAATACATGAAATCTACTATTAACTTATTTTTCAATTAAATGTTGTGTCATGTCAACGGTGATTAGGAGATGATTTTTGTATAAAATAAGTGCGACAAACTTTTAGCATCTCAACTCACTTGTACCGAAGCAATCTATTGATTTACACGCAACCGAATCCCTTCTAATTGCAAATACCACCGTTCCTCCTGTATTCGTTGCGATTCCAACGGTCATATCCATCATACCTCGCTGACTCGATCACAAGATGACAAAGTCACCGACCCGATCTCCTCCCTTCTCCACAACCACCGCCACCAAAGTCCCACAAGAAATCATTAGCGAAGAAGAAATGGCGCTCATCGATTCTGCCTTCGCCTCCGCAGCCGCCCAGTTCCCCCGTAATCAGAGATCCATTCAGTCGATAACTCGCTTATCCAAACGCACACTTTTGGATTCTATGGCAACCGGCTCTTCGCCTGATATTGAGGACTCGGGTCGCGTTGGCTGGTCGGACAGTAGCCCCCTGAAGAAGAGAAACAGAGGTCTCGACTCGTTTCTCCATAGGTTCCGGCGGAAAAGAGGTCTCTCTGTTACAGATATTACTGCCACGGTAAAATTTAGTATTTCCTTTTCTATTTTTAACTATTTTTTCTTTTTCGGAAAAATCAAATATAAATTAGAAATCTGTGTTTTATGTTTGATGTAGGAATGGTGTGAAAAGCAAATGGAGTTTTGTCTACTCTTTGGAAAACCAGAAAAGACTAAAGCTATGAAAGCAGGCAGTGTTCGCCATGTGGAACTGGAAGAAGAGGTATAAGATAAATTCTTATCCTGTTGAACTAATATTTCTATTGATTGAACTACCAATATTTATTAATTGTTGAATGGTTTCGCTTCGAAATAAGGAGTAAGGATTTAGCTTTCATATTAATTTCTTTTGTTTCTTAAAGGAAGAGTTAATGCACAAACTGATATCTTCATAAAAACATTGGTAGTCAATCTTCACCACTTTCATGTGAACTCTGTATGTGAAATGAATTTCTGGTGTTTAAATATTACTGCAATTGGTTGGTGTACATAATGCTTGCACTTACACGGTGTAATTGCCTCGGATAATGATATTTATAGTTTTTTCTCCAGCTCTAATTCCCACCTATAACGTGATCTTGTTGATGATTATATTTGCTTTCTCTATTTGTTCATGTCCCCTTCTTGCTCCTCCTTAATTGCCGTAGGCTTTCTCCACTACTAAGGTAAGAGCATATTTGGTTAAGCTTAAAAATTTTACTTGTTACTTATAAATTTACTTATAAGTAAAAACGTTCAAATATGGAAATGAGTTAACATGCTTTCAAAATATGAAACTTTTTGTACTCAAAAATAAGAAAAAATAAAGTATTCAAATATATTTGATAGCAAAATTTAAGCTTAGTCAAACAATCTTTAAGTTTGTTCCATGATGCCCTGTATTCTGGGAAGAAAATTATCATCTTGTGATTTTATTAATTGGTTTTTGATGTCGAAACCTTTGGTATTGCAAAAGCAGAAAGTTTATGCCGTTGATTCAAGGGTAATATGTTGAGCTTTACCTCGTAACTGTTGGACTCGAAGGGATTCTAATGAATTAGAATAATGACACAATATTAAGTAATAATGATCACAACAAGAAACAAGATTAAAAGTAAAAAAGAACAAAGAGAGTTAATTACAGAAAAACGATGTATATTAGCTAACAATATGGAGAGAAATTACAGACATAACAATAATATTTAAACAAAACTGACAGAGGAACCTTGTATTTATAGGGCACGTTTCAAACCCTAGAATAGTTCTAAAAGATAAGAAAATCTGTTAAAAATTAGATTACAATTGTGCCTAGAACTTTGACCGAGAGAGAATTTTCTTTCCTTATTCAACTTAGATATAATATCCCTTTCCAAGTAAAAATCAAATACGCAATCTCACAATACTCTTTACCATATTTGAGTAACAAAGCTTAACAATTTCCATTTTGACTCAAATTCCGGTTCAACAAATGGAGCTCCACAAAATTTCTCCACCTGAGAAATAAACATGTTTGCATCGAAATGAAATGGCCAATCTCCTCAACGCAGTAACCAAAACTCTCCATATAAACCATCGTCCTCCACACGGAGTCCACAAGCGACACCTGAACCCTACTCTTGGGTTCTCAAAATTTCACCAAGGAATTAATGTTTATCAAATAAGGTCGAAGCACACCTGTAGTAGAAACCATACAAAGAGCTTGTTTGGTATAGCTATTAATCCAATTAAAATCAATTTTTTGACCGTTATTTTACTATTCCAACCGTTATTTTTGAATTCTTCTTAGGACTCACTTTATTTCTAACGATCAAAAAAATCAATTATCAAAATCCCTACCAAACAAGCACAAAATGCCTGAACAGAAGACCTTTTGCTAGAACTGTCGCCTTCAACATTCCCAAAAGCATTACAGATATCACTGACACCACGGTACCTACGCTTAATGGATCCAACCCTAGCAACTGAACACAGGGCAACTGCTGAAATTGGTGGAAAAACAGAATCACCAACACTCCCTCGAGCAATGTTCAGAACTGACCCAGAGCACATCACAAGTGGTACTGTACCAAAATGAATATCCGCCACGATACTCAACTTGTTCAGATGTCTCTTAATTGGTTCTGCACTTCTCTGCAAGATGAACAACTGAGACCTTCGTTCCTCTAGTACAACCCGAACATTCTTTCGGACCTAGACTTCACCAGATAATTTACACCCTTTTGCATTCAGATGCTAAGCGAGATGAGATTCCTTTTCAGGTTTGGAACATGTCGAACCTGATCAATTGTTCTGACTGTTCCATCCCGCAGCCTAAATTTGACTCGATTGATCCTAGCAATACGGTAAGACTGGTTGTTTTCCATTACAACTCCACATTGCTGAACAGCCTCATATGCTTGAAAGAAATTTCGATTAGAACACATATGATGCGAACATGCCGAATTGAGAATCCACTCAGCGTCAGGCCTAGATTTCACGTCAGATACCACCATCACCATCACATTCCGCAGTCTGAAAAATCCTCAATTACATTTGTTTCGTCTGAAGTCAAAGGTTGCGCTCCACGATTTGCAGCTAGATCACATTTAGCCTGCAACGTATTGCAATCTTTCCGAATATTTCCTTATGTCTGCAGTAGAAGCAAAACAAATTGCTATTATTCTTAGATCTGTCCCTCCGTCGACCAAATGCTTCAACTTTTTCTTTGAGTGTGTAAACGTGTTTTTGCATAAACTGAGAGGGAAAAATCTACTCTTCATCTCCTCTTCCGTTTATTTATATAGAGAATCAATCATGTACATATATGGAAACTAAATATACCAAATAATATTCTTGCCTAATACACATTATTCCTAATTGATTTTCTTTCTTAACACACCCCCTCAAGCTGGAATATATATATCATATAAACCCAGCTTGGAACACAGAAATCTCAAACGATTACTGTTCAATGATTTTGTAAACATATCAGCAAGTTGGTCTCCAGTCTTCACAAACGGTGTACATATGTCATCACATACTATCTTGTCCCAAATAAAGTGACAGTTGACTTCAATATGCTTGGTCCTTTCATGAAAAACTAGATTTGATGCAATATGTAAAGTAGCCTGATTATCACAGAACATTGGTATAGGAGTAGAGGGTGAAAGATTGATTTCTTGAAGAAAGTGCTGCAACCATGTCAATTCACTAACAGTATGAGCCATCGCCCTATATTTCGCTTCTGCACTTGACCTTGCAACTAGAGTCTGTTTCTTACTTTTCCAAGAGACAAGATTACCACCGAGAAAAGTACAGAATCCAGTAGTAGACCGTCTATCTGACGGAGAACCTGCCCAATCTGTATCTATAAATCCTTCTATTCTGATATTTCCATTTGGTTTATACAATAATCCAAGAACTGGAGCCTTTTTCAAATATCGAATAATACATATCACATCTTCCCAATGAGAAACTCGAGGAGCATCGAAGAACTGACTAACGATGTTGACTGCATAAGAAATATCCGGTCGTGTGATAGTAAGATAATTCAATTTTCCAACCAAGCGACGATATTTTCCTGGTTCTGCAAATGATTCTCCTTCATCTTTCAAAAGTTTCACATTAGGATCCATAGGGGTATCAATTGGACGAGCTTCAAGAAAACCTGTCTCATCTAACAGGTCAAATACATGTTTTCTCTGAGATAAGTTGATACCTGCCCGAGACCTGGCAATTTCAATACCCAAAAAATATCGAAGCTTGCCTAGATCTTTGGTCTGAAAATGTTTTTGTAGAAACTGTTTTAATCGAGCAATTCCATTTGCATCATCACCAGTTATTACAATATCATCTATATAAGTTACAAGAATAACATGACCTGCACCAGTTTGTAGATGAAATACTGAATGGTCTGTCTGACACCTTTGAAGACCAAATTTTAAAACAACCTCAGAAAACTTTCCAAACCATGCCCTCGGTGATTGCTTTAACCCATATAAAGACTTTTTCAACTTACAAAAATAGTTTTGGTACTCCCCCTGAGCAACAAACCCAGGTGGTTGCTCCATAAACCTCTTCGTGCAAATCACCATGAAGGAAGGCATTTTTAATATCCAACTGGAACAATGGCCAATCAAGGTTAGCAGCAATAGAAATTAAAATACGAATAGGTCAGATCTTAGCAACCGGAGAGAACGTTTCATCATAATCCTGTGCATAGCCCTTAGCAACCAATCGAGCTTTCAACCGATCAACAGTCCCATCACGATTGAACTTCGGAACATAAAACCATCTGTTACCAATAGGGCGAATACCAAGTGGTGAAGGAACAAGGTCCCAAGTCTGATTCTCGTGTAAGGCTGCCATTTCCAATTCCATGGCCTTTCGCCACTCAGGATTAGATAAAGCCTTTGCCACTGTCTTAGGTACAAAAATACCAGAAAGCTGGGATGTGAAATAAGAAAACGAAGGTGACAACGAATCAAAAGTGACATGAGAGGAAAACAAAGAGAGAAGGGAGATGCACCATTCAAAATGGAGGATGGCATGTGATTAAAGAGATAGCATGTAGTAAGGATCGCATCACTCCAAAAACGTTTAGGGACATGCATATGACAAAGAAGAGCATGAGTAACATCTAATAAATGACGATTTTTACGTTCTGCAACCCCATTTTGTTGTCGAGTATATGCACAAAATGTTTTAAATAGGAAGTAAAAGATGCAGACATATATTCTTTGGCAATATCAGAACGCAAAATACGGATTTTCTTGTTAAATTGAGTTTTAATCAATGAACGAAAGACTTGAAATATAAAACGTAACTCAAAACGATTTTTCATTAAGAACAACCAAGTCATACGAGAATAATCATCCACAAAAGTGACAAAATATTGAAATTTATTAGAAAAAATATTGATTGGTCCCCATACATCAGAATGAACTAACTCAAATAAACCAGAAACACTACTATTAGTTCGCAACGGAAAAGACACTCGGTGATGTTTGCTAAGCTGAAAGCATTACATTCAAGGGAGGACACATTGCGAAGACTCACAACTTGACGTTTTAAAGTAGATAGAGAAGGGTGACCAAGACGGCAATGCCACTGCATGGGTGAAACAGATGACTGAAGAGCTCGAAGAGGAGAGACCGGTGAAATATTCAGGTGGTACAAGTCACCAACTTCATGCCCCATACCAATGATCCTCTTCGTCTTGAGATCCTGAAAAACACACAATGAGGGATAAAATGTTACAGAGCACTGAAGAGATTTGGTAATTTTACTAATAGACAATAAACTGGAGGGAAAGCCAGGGACATGAAGGACAGTTGATAGATTAATGTTAGAACTAGGACAAGTATTGCCTGAGCCTGCAACATTAGTTTGGGAACCGTTAGCCAGGGTGACACATGTGGTATGACTAAGATGATGATAATCAAGGAGAGAAATAGACGAACCAGTCATGTGTTCTGTTGCACCAGAATCGATAATCCACGGATTGTGAGAGGATGACAATAGATAGTGAGAAGATGCAGTACCAAACTGAGTGAGTGTGGCTATAGAAGTGGAAGTAGCTTGTTTATGAGCTAAAAACTCAGCATACTCATCCCGTGGTACAGCTAAGAGATCAGATCCTTGTGTTGAGCTACAGTTAGTTACCGGTCCAGATATTAGGTGATGGTCCTTATTAGATGAGACCTTATTGGTAGAACCAGATGGTTTGCCATGTAAGTCCCAACAATAATCAATGGAGTGACTTGTACGACCACAGTGAGTACATTTTCGAGGTTCACGATTTCCCAAACGGCTACTGCTTATAATATCTCGTCCACCTCTAGAGCTAACATCACGTCCACTTCGACCACTGCATCCACCCCTAAATGAGCCACTCCCGGCAACAAAGGCAGAATGATCTCCACTAGGTGTATTATCGGAGAGAGTAGAGCGCTGAATACGAGAGAATGTCTCTGGGAGACTTGGAAGTTCTTTTCCATCCAATATCTGTGCCCTCACAGCTTCAAGCTCCGGTGGAAGACCAAGAAGGAATTTAACAACATCAATGTCTTCTCGCTGTTTTTCCATAATCTTCAAGTCAAGAGAGAGAGGTTGATGCTACATATTCCTTTCCTGACGCACAGCCAATAGTTTATTCTAATACTTAACAAGGCTGGAGGAGCCTTTCTGAAGCCCAAAATATTGTTTGCAAGTCTCATAGACCCGAGTAATATTCCCAGTTCCAGAGTGTATATGTTTAAGATGCTCCCAAATTTGCTTAGCGGTAGACATGTAGAGAGATGAAGACCCAATATGAGGCTCAATACTACTGATCATAAGTCCAGTGATTGCGTTATCTTCTTGATCCCACCGATCGTTGAGATTAGTCTTTACAGATTCACCTTCTGATGATTTGGCAGACGACTTGTCTAAAATCAAGTGATTATATAAACCTTTACCTCGCAAGAAGACTTCGACACACGTAGCCCAATAAGTATAATTTCTTTCATTCAATTTTTCTGGTGCTATGGGTCCAATCAAATTGAATATCTCCATCTTGGATGACATAATTTTAACCACACACACTAGTCCTTGGATCGTAGAGAATAAGACCAATTAACAATAACAGTCAACCATCGAATCACAAATATGCCCACAATTAGAGTGACCAACCAAATAATATTAAATGAGGCACAAAAGAGAAGTCCAATGAAATAAAATCACAAAGTAGATCCAACAAAATTACTATAGCCCAATAGGCAGCCCAATTAGTCACCCCAAATTTATCAGTATTTAATTAACAAAGTACATGCCCAAGCCGCCCAACTCACAGAAAACTCACCACCACCGACTTTAACGATTGAGAGTGCTGAACGGAGATTCACCAAGAAAATCCCAAAAATTCAAATCAATCCAACATAATTACCGACTAGAATTGCTGGAGACGAGTATGCAGACAAGAGGCGACACCGACCAGAAAACCACTAGCGACGGACGGGTAGTAGAGAACTGCAGACGTAACAAAACCGAGCTGCTCCAACCAAGACCCAAACTAGCTGCTCCAACCAAGACCTACCGAAGAATTTAACACCTAACCTCAGGCTATGCCAGAAGGTCAGCCGGCACAGGGAACTAAGTGCGGCCTACTAGAATAAAACACGAAGATGCCGATGGGAAGAGCAGAGACACTATCGTCGACAATGTCTAAGACCCGAACTCCAACCGGAGGTTACTGTGAACTGAGAAAGAACCAATGACGATGAACAAGGAGCAGACCCGCAATACACACGCACGAGTAAGTGATTCTATGGCTTTGATACCATGTAAACGTGTTTTGCATAAACTGAGAGGGAAAAATCTACTCTTCGTCTCCTCTCCCTTTTATTTATATAGAGAATCAATCATGTACATATATGGAAACTAAATATACCAAATAATATTCTTGCCTAATACACATTATTCCTAATTGATTTTCTTCCTTAACAGAGTGCAAAGCATCATATAGTCAAAAGTATTCCGACTATATAAAATAGTGTCCCGAAATGACGCATAAGAGTAAGGCAGTGAACGCAACAGGATCAAGGCCAGATCCTCTTCATCATAATTAACCTTCAACTATTTCCTTGAAAATAGCAATATGGTCCTCCAGTAACCCTTCTTCAGCCATGCGATGGGAATACAGCTTCTGCTTTAGAGCCAATCTGCCCGTGAGACTTTTAGTCATGCATAACTGCTCTAGTTTTAGTCACAAAGCAGCCGCTATTTTCTCCTTCAAGACACCTTGCAAAATATTGTTGGATAAATGAAAATGGATCTGTGATAAATCCTTTCAGTCCCTCTGTTGTTTCTCTTCCGTTGTCCAATCAGCTGGCATCTTCTCAAAACCTAGCCGTGCATCTTCCAAATCTAACTGCGCCAGAATAGCCCTCATCTTTACTTGTCACAAAGAAAATCTTGTATTGCGATCCTGCAGCAAAATGTCATACTTCATAGTAGTCATCTCTGAAAAAACATCAATTAATCCACAAAAAAAGAACCAAGCTGTGATACTACTTGTTGGATCTGGAGAGATTGTAATGAATGAGATTAATGACACACTATGAAATAATAAAGATCACAACAAGAAACAAGATTATAAGTAAAGAAGAACAAATGGAGTTAACGCAGAGAAATGATGTATATTAACTAATAATATGGAAAGAAACTACAGACACGGCAATAATGCTTAAACAAAACTAATAGAGGAGCCTTGTATTTATAGGTCACATTCCAAACTCTAGAAGAGTTCTAAAATGTAAGAAAATCTATTAAAATTAGGTTATAATTGCGCATAAAACTTCGACGGAAAGAGGATTTCCTTTCCTTATTTAACTTGGATACGATCTTCCTTTCCAAGTAAAATTCAAATACGTAATCTCACAAGACTCCTAACCATATTTGAGTCACAAAACCTAACAGTAACTACATTTAAAGTCTTTTATTGCCAATAGTATTGTCTGATTTCTCTTGTGAATGTGGACAGGTTATTAAAAGAGTAAAAATTCACGTTTCATCAAATGAAGATGTGTGGGCACTGAAGTTCGTGAATTTTATAATTGGTGCAAATCAACTGATTTTTGATGGATTGACACGCGAGTTGCCAATGTAAGTATGATTTGTTTTTTGCTTGATTTGCGGCTGAATAGTTCTGTTTGTGATGATATTTTGCATCAATAGTGGCTAAATATATGATTACCTTAAATTTCCAAGTTGTGTAGAAAACTCTTTCTTTTTTCTTTTTTTTTTCTTTTTTTCAAGACCCAAACTAGCTGCTCCAACCAAGACCTACCGAAGAATTTAACACCTAACCTCAGGCTATGCCAGAAGGTCAGCCGGCACAGGGAACTAAGTGCGGCCTACTAGAATAAAACACGAAGATGCCGATGGGAAGAGCAGAGACACTATCGTCGACAATGTCTAAGACCCGAACTCCAACCGGAGGTTACTGTGAACTGAGAAAGAACCAATGACGATGAACAAGGAGCAGACCCGCAATACACACGCACGAGTAAGTGATTCTATGGCTTTGATACCATGTAAACGTGTTTTGCATAAACTGAGAGGGAATCATGTACATATATGGAAACTAAATATACCAAATAATATTCTTGCCTAATACACATTATTCCTAATTGATTTTCTTCCTTAACAGAGTGCAAAGCATCATATAGTCAAAAGTATTCCGACTATATAAAATAGTGTCCCGAAATGACGCATAAGAGTAAGGCAGTGAACGCAACAGGATCAAGGCCAGATCCTCTTCATCATAATTAACCTTCAACTATTTCCTTGAAAATGGCAATATGGTCCTCCAGTAACCCTTCTTCAGCCATGCGATGGGAATACAGCTTCTGCTTTAGAGCCAATCTGCCCGTGAGACTTTTAGTCATGCATAACTGCTCTAGTTTTAGTCACAAAGCAGCCGCTATTTTCTCCTTCAAGACACCTTGCAAAATATTGTTGGATAAATGAAAATGGATCTGTGATAAATCCTTTCAGTCCCTCTGTTGTTTCTCTTCCGTTGTCCAATCAGCTGGCATCTTCTCAAAACCTAGCCGTGCATCTTCCAAATCTAACTGCGCCAGAATAGCCCTCATCTTTACTTGTCACAAAGAAAATCTTGTATTGCGATCCTGCAGCAAAATGTCATACTTCATAGTAGTCATCTCTGAAAAAACATCAATTAATCCACAAAAAAAGAACCAAGCTCTGATACTACTTGTTGGATCTGGAGAGATTGTAATGAATGAGATTAATGACACACTATGAAATAATAAAGATCACAACAAGAAACAAGATTATAAGTAAAGAAGAACAAATGGAGTTAACGCAGAGAAATGATGTATATTAACTAATAATATGGAGAGAAACTGCAGACACGACAATAATGCTTAAACAAAACTAATAGAGGAGCCTTGTATTTATAGGTCACATTCCAAACTCTAGAAGAGTTCTAAAATGTAAGAAAATCTATTAAAATTAGGTTATAATTGCGCATAAAACTTCGACGGAAAGAGGATTTCCTTTCCTTATTTAACTTGGATACGATCTTCCTTTCCAAGTAAAATTCAAATACGTAATCTCACAAGACTCCTAACCATATTTGAGTCACAAAACCTAACAGTAACTACATTTAAAGTCTTTTATTGCCAATAGTATTGTCTGATTTCTCTTGTGAATGTGGACAGGTTATTAAAAGAGTAAAAATTCACGTTTCATCAAATGAAGATGTGTGGGCACTGAAGTTCGTGAATTTTATAATTGGTGCAAATCAACTGATTTTTGATGGATTGACACGCGAGTTGCCAATGTAAGTATGATTTGTTTTTTGCTTGATTTGCGGCTGAATAGTTCTGTTTGTGATGATATTTTGCATCAATAGTGGCTAAATATATGATTACCTTAAATTTCCAAGTTGTGTAGAAAACTCTTTCTTTTTTCTTTTTTTTTTCTTTTTTTTTTTCAATGCTGTAAAACTAAATTTGATAATAAAGGTTAAAACAGGAAGCACTGAAAAAGCAAGATATATAAAATCCCATGAACGAAATTTCAGAAAAATGAGCTCTAACGCCTAAGAATTGAGCAAGATCGAGCAGATTTTAAGAGCGCGGGCAGCAGTCCCTGCCTTTGGTGATCATCCCTTGGGTGCCTGAATCTCTGTGGAGGCACACGATTCCTCCTATCAGTACGAGAGCGCTCATTGACAACTTTGCAGTGAGTGGCACATGAAAAATAGTACTGCATCTTCATGTACACAGAAAACTCTGTTCTTGAGAACATAGTTGCTTGACTTCATTGCTTAGCAAGCACTGGATACCTTTGCTGGAACATTAACGAAAAACATAGTTGTTGCCGCCAGATAGGATTTACATTTTATTAAGAATCAGTACTTTGACAATGCAACAACCGATCCTTCTATTTGACCTATAGGAGTAGTCTTTTTAGCGTTGTGTGATAAAATTCTTTACCATGAATAAAGTAAGAAACTTATTACTTCGGAGGTAAGGTGCAGTGTCTTTCACAATAGTGCAAGTTTTTCATTTATTTGGATTAAGTTATTTAGAAATTTTGTGGGTTTAGTGTGTATCACTATCTCATAGACTTGCAACTTTTTGTACATTCAGAGTAGGCTTTGCAGAAGGCATATGGATGGTAGGAGTAATTGATGAAATCCGTATATCAGAGTCTGAAAGATATGCAACATTGGTTGACACGAAAACTCGTGTGCAAGCAAAATTTCCGACTGAACCTCAGCAAAGAAATGGAAGGTATAATCAGTGGCTTGTGGATTACTTCTTTAAATTGCTGAAGCTCGTCGACTTTTTTTTAGCTGTACTTGTGACTCATATGTTCAAAATTTACTTGGGCAGGCTTCAGTTAATGTGCTACAAGCGTCTATGGGACAGTTTAGTTGATGATAAATTTCCCGTACAAAAATTTTTTGATTTCTTTTCATTGAATCCTCATTGCATATTACCCGCCGAAATTAGAGAAAATACGGCAAAGTCTGGTTTTGCGTCAGAGGTGAGGAATAATTTTTTTTATTTACAGTTTTTAATCATCGTGTGTGCTATTTGCAATGAAACTAAATACTTAAAAAAGAGCCTACGGTTTTAGCATGTGGGATTGGTTCCGTGCTATGGTAACAGTGGGTGGCTTTTCTGTATACTTTCCTCTTGACCTTTACACAATCGAATAACCTCTTTATCAGTAAAAATAAATTAAAGAGATTTATTATTGAGAGAAATTTGCATCCCTCATCTATGAAACAAGAGAGAGCACATTGACAATTAGTTTATAGTTTAGCTTTAGAAGTTCATCAGTGTTTATGCTTGCTTTGATCTAATCTTATTTTTGGTTGCTGTTTCAGACTCTGAATGATCTGGTGAGGTATTTTCGGAATAGTTGTTTCCAGCTACCTCGAGCTCACGGCCTGCTAACTTTGAGGTGAGCTTGAAGTGAGATTTAAAGGAATTCTGAAGTTTTTATTTTTATTTTTTTTATTTTATTTTTCCTTCGGACTAGACTAGGGGACTTTCTTGGCGAGTTTGAACTCCTTTTAAAATTATGATGATGACGATATCTTTTTGTTTTCAAGACATGCATGCAAAGTCCCATTAAGTAGTTCCCTATGTAACGTTGATATACAATTAATACTGTGAGGATTATTTGGTGCAGATATGAATTGCAAGCAGATCAATCCTTGATCGGTGAGGATGAATTTGCGTATGATTGTGAATGGGTTAAGGGTCAAATTAAGTCCTCTCTTGAGTTTTGGGTAGGTGAGAGAAAAGCCAGTTATACTCCGACAGAGGAGCGTTGGAAATGCAGATTTTGCAAGTTTGCCAATGTGTGTCCAGGAAACTCCAATCCCAATGCTTCTTCTACACCAAGCTAAAGGAAAATTTCACAAATATTCGTTCGTATCTCCTCCTGAAATTGCAATTATTCCTTGTTAGATACAGGGTGTTGCGATAAAACACCGGCCGTATTCATTCAAGCTTTTTATTTATTAGAATTGTTATTGAAAAGCCTAGCCCTTCTTCCTCTTGCAAAATCCATTTTATTTATCAATGGAATATGTTATGTTGAATATGTGGGATGGCTAATGTTCGTTCATTTTATGTATTGTTTCCACAACCCCAAGCTCTATAAAAATCTAATATTTTCGCATCTGTTGGTATATTTATCTAATTATCTTCCAATGATATTTTGAGTAGACATTAATGAAGTCAATATTTTTAGCTCTCGTTTGGTTTTGCTAAAAATCATATTTTTAGTAAATTTTTATAAAAATTAATGAAATATGTAGTTGAAAAGTTGATAAAAGTTATAGATTTTGTGAAATGTGTGATTGAAAATTAATTTGGAGGAAAATGAGTTATGAGAAATTGGGAACAAATTGAAGTTGCTCCTTATGGTCAGTGCTAGTTTTGCCTCAATAAGAATTCTTTAGCAGAAAATGCTTTATTTCATGTCTTGCTATTGCTATTTATTTATTGAGAGATAATGAGTTTGTGATGAAATTTCAGCTATTATTTCTCTCCGTTATGTTCTGATTATTCCTACAACATTTTGAAAATTTCTTTATTTTCATGTGGAAATTTTGAAAGTCTTTTTAATTAGATACATAATACATATCAGGTTAATTTCACTAACGTTCACTGAACTTAATTGAAAATTTCAAAACGGTCATTGAAGTTTAAAACTTGTAGCAACGGTCACTGAAGTTACATTTTCTTTCAGAAACGGTCACTAAAGGCCCATTATGCTTTTCATTCAAACTTGAAGGACCAAAACACGTGAAAATCAAACCTTGAGGACCAAATCACTCTTTAGACAATTTTTTCCTCCCTTTCCAGCTTTCTTCTTCGACGCTGGCGGATTCAAAGCCAAAATCGACCACACTATTGCTGGATAAACCACCAGACTTTTACACCACCAACACCTCCTCACCCCTCTCCACAATTATATATCAACAATCAACCAAAACATATCAAAAATCATGGCGAAATTCAGGTTCGAAAAACCATACACACGCACGATTTTATCGCCAATTTCGGCCAAACCACATCACCCATACCAAACCCCATCACAGATTGTTAGTACTCCCCAAGACGAACAGGTACATGGTCCCATACCTTCACAAAACAATTTAAATCAAAACCTAACCCATACCAGTTTGAAGGCAGTGACAACGAATTTTCCTTCCCAATTTTTGGTGTCGGCGTCAACAATTATGGTCGCACACCACCACCATTACCTTCTACTCATCATGGCGAACAAGATGCACATATGGGTCCTCACCAATTTATCTCAAATTGGCCAGAATTGGAGGTAAAACTGTGGGCGGGGATGATTTTTTTTGAACCTGAATTTCATGTGATTTTTGATATATTTTGGTTGATTGTTGGTGTCGGATTGTGGAGGGGGATGAGGAGGTGTTGGTGGTGTAAAAATTAGGTGGTTTATCCGGCGGTATGGTGGTCGAATTTGACAAATTTCGGCTCCAACGAAATATGGTGAAAATGGGAGGAATTTGGCTCGATTTCTAAATTTCAGAGGTAGATTTTGTGCAAATTAAATTAGATGAAACATACACTTGAGGTCCTCAAGAATCCAATTCACGTGTTTTGGTCCATCAGTGAGTGTTATTGAAAGCGCCCGTAAGTTCAATGACCGTTGCCATAAGTTTTACACTTCAATGACCGTTTTGAAATTTTCGGTTAAGTTCAGTGACCGTTAGTGAAATTAACCCAATACATATCTATTTGGAAAAGGGTTAATTTCACAAACGGTCACTGAACTTACAGAAAAAATACAAAACGGTCGCTGAAATTTAAAACTTTCAGTAAAGGTCACTTAAGTATTGGGACGCTTTCAAAAACGGTCACTGAAGTTTAAAAAGTTTCTGAAATGGTCACTGAAGTTGAAAAATATTTTTTTAGTTTTTTTTGTTACATTTGCGGCAATTTTTCGGGTACTTCCAACTATTGATACCATCGAATTTTGATACTGTTGGAAAGCCCACAACGTCATTTTCAATTACCACTCAAAATTTCTCCGCAACATCAAGGAATTCGACCGAAAAATCACCGCAGAAGTCGCCCCAAAAAATCTGAAATTTGCTCAGATTTTCAGATTTTTGGGCGACTTTTATGGCAATTTACCAACGACTTTCGATCACCAAGACCGCCGGATTTTGATACCGTTGGAAAGCCCACAATATCCTCTTCAATTACAATCCAAAATCTTCTCCAAACTCCAAATGATTCGGAGGGAATAAACCCGCAAAATCGACATTCCAAAAAGGCGAAAATCTGGGATTCCAAATTTGTGAGTTTATTCCGGTCGGATCCTTTACAGTTTTTGGGAGATTTTGGATGCTAATTAAAGAGGACATTGTAGGCTTTCCAACGGTATCAAAATTTGGCTATTTTGGTAGTCGGAAGTTGTCAAAAAACCTCCGCAAAAGTCCACCAAAAATCTGAAAATTTGGGCAGATTTTTGCATTTTCGAGTAGCCAACTTTATGGGTTTATTCCGGCCGAATCCTTGGAGTTTGGGGGAGATTTTTTGTTGTAATTGAAGAGGACATTGTAGGCTTTTCAACGGTATCAAAATCCGGCGATATCAGTGGTCGAAAGTGGTCGAAAAATTGCCGCAAAAGTAGCTCAAAAATTTTTAAACTTCAATTACCATTTTTAAAAGTGTCTCAATACTTAAGTGACTGTTACTAAAAGTTTTTAACTTCAGTGACCGTTTTGTAATTTTTCTATAAGCTCAGTGACCGTTTGTGAAATTAACCCACTTGGAAAATGCCTATGTACAGGTCCCCTCGCGTGCTGTGTGAGGTGGTGGAGGATTATTTAAAAAAAAAAAAAAATTACCTACTCCCCTTGTAATGTGTCTGGTGCAGCCAGCATGTTCCGATCTATTTTGTCTATTCAAATTTTTTTCTAGCTTCCCATTGTAAAAGGTAGAGCTAGATATATTAGTCCTTGTTTGATTTAGATTAAAAATTGCTCAAAATTTTAAGTCAAGGTGACCAATTAATTTTAAGTTTAGTAGTCGTTGGAACAATTAATTCCCCCTAAAGCAAAAGCCTCGATTATCAAAGGGTACGCAGAACGGCGGGGCAGATGGAGCAGAACGGCGGCGGAAGGAAGAAGAGGGAGAAGCCAAATATACTGATAACAGGAACACCAGGAACCGGTAAGACCACGATGGCGTCTGCTCTGGCGGAGGCTACTCAATTTTGCCATATAAATATCGGAGATTTGGTCAAGGAAAAGAACCTCCACGACGGCTGGGATGACCAGTTCGATTGTTATTTGATCAATGAAGACCTGGTAAGTTTGTTAATTAAATTGGTAATTTTAGTATTTGACAATGTTGTAATTGACGAAATAGGTAGTAGTGTTTCCAGTGTTTGTTCACAAGCAAGGGTTTCTAGATATCGCGTGGTTTATTTGCTAAATAATTGTGTGTGTCAAAATTGACGATCTTTTAGACAAATGAAAGTAAAGCCGTCTAAGGCTATCACCAAAAAACATTTTTGTGATGTTGCCTCGTCGAATAGGTTCATTGCTCTGGTCCAGAATACTTCGGCTTCGGCTATATGAGTTTCTAGAATCTTACAGTATACCTTAATGAGGAGGGCATTGATAGCATGTGTTTTGGTTGTAGTTGAAAACAAAATCAATTCAAAACTGGATCAAATATTCTAACTTCCCATTTTTTAGGTCCTGATAAACATATAGGTGAAAGTGAGGCCAATGGAGATATAGAATTATAATGGACAAGCACAAAACGGTTTGACAAACATGCTTTCTTGCATCCAAAATGTATATGACATATTTAGTTGGCTCCTCTGCATCTCTTTCGAGCAGTGAAGTTGTGTTGTCCATGTAGTCTTATGGGATTGTTTAGCAAATGAAGCCATTAACATAATGGAGTGTCAAAAATGGATTAACATGGTTGGCTGCCTGGTCTCGAATTTATGGAGAATCGGGTTTAGTTTGTTGTTGTGGTCCATGTTTGAGTTTGTTTGCAATTAGATTCTATGATTTCTAGGTGATTGGTGGCTCAACTGGTTGATTGCAATGTCCACCTGAACTTGGCTCACTGTTTAATTATAATTGATGTCAAAACAAGATCAAATCTTTTCTGGAAGCTCTGTTTACCATATTCATTTCTTGCATGTTAAGATATAAAAGAATGTGAGATATTTTATGAGCCAGAGGACTTTAAGATCAACCTGACTTTTGATGTTGCCCAATATATGGCGTCAACAGGTGTGTGATGAGCTTGAGGATTTGATGGAAGGTGGTGGTAACATTGTGGATTACCATGGAGGCGACTTCTTTCGTCAGCGTTGGTTCGATCGCGTAGTAGTGCTCCAAACTGAAAATTCCGTGTTGTATGACAGATTGACAAAGAGGTTATGTACTTCTCAATCGTCCAAATTGGGTCTTTGTCGTCAACAAATCTCCTTAACATTTTTATCTATCTGGCAGGGGTTATACTGGGCAGAAACTTACTAACAATATAGAATGTGAAATCTTTCAAGTGTTGCTGGAGGAGGCCAAGGAGAGTTATCCTGAAGAAATTGTGGTGGCATTAAGAAGCGACTGTATCGATGACATGAACAGTAACGTGGCCACTTTGACTGATTGGATTAGAAGTTGGAGCTGCCAATCTTGATCACGACTTTACTGAAAATGTCAAATTTGAAGGTCATAATGTGGGAAGTTCTTGCTTGTGATGGTGTCTTGCATAGAATGTAAGAAACTCGTGTCTTTTAGTCAAACGTATCCATACCAACGTACATGGTCGATGATTTTCGGGAATAGTTTACGATTACAATGTTGTATTTTTGCCTCTTTTTTTTGCAGATTATATGATGAAAGAGTTTCTCTCCCAAGTAGTGTGAATATTGTTGAGACTTAACTCACAACTGTTTTCACTCTTACTCACAACACGGCAACTATTCTTTCAATTCTGTTCTAAATGCTAGGGGCGAACACATTTATAGCAAATCCTGCATTCAAAACCTCAGATCTTAGTATTAGCCTATTCCTTAGTATACATACTACTGTTAAATTTTATGAAACTTCATTCTCCACCATCCCCTCCCATTTTCACATCCAAGAAAACTTCTTCCAAGTTATTTTGTAGGTTGGTGAAAGTGACTAATAGTTGGAATGGCGAGTTCCGGGCTGCCTGTGTTGTCATTGCTTCTCCTTGCATAGCTAATATATTTCCTTCCCAGACGTGGACGTTGGCGTGATCCATCAAGCTTGACGTACTTTCCATTTCTTCCAATCATTATGGGAATGGTTGAACAGATCAAACCAATTCCCTACTGGAAAATATGCATCAAAAGAAACTGCTCTAGACTGTGGTACAGATGAAATCATTATCCCCTTATCACGTAGAAACTGTGAGCTGATTTTGTAAGTGTTGGTATGGGCAATTGGGATGTGTACAAGTATGGTAACGAAGTCCAAGCACTTTCCTGGCTGATGCAGAGAGCGAATCCCAGATATATAGCTCTTGACCGACGGATGGTGAATTTCTCAGAGTGGCCTCTGGCAAAGGGATAAAAGTTGTCTATTGAAAACCACATATATCCAGCTCTAACCATCGGAATTCCAAATATTCCAATGTCGAAGATGCTGGGTATTGTGTGTGCCAAATTTTCCAGTGTGGCTGCCGTGTCTCCAGTCCCGTGTGCTTTGTACTTTCCAGAAACCACGAAAATAGATCTACTCAGCACAAATGGCCTTTTACCAATGACATTAGTTAAAGCTGCATTAGTAACTCATGTCTCATTTATGCTGGTCCCAGGATTTTTGATGATCCCTATTTATGATCATTCTGATAAAGTGAATCAACGAAACTTTCATCTTATCCGGAGGAAAATTCAGTAAAATCCTTGTAGCCATTCCATATAATCAATATCCGTACACATTTCTGGAGGGATTTGAATTTTAAGCTTTCTTATAAACAGCAGCCACATTCTCAAGATCGCTAAAGACCAGTAAGGCATGCAGCAGGGAGTCCAATGAGTTCACTGTACTGTTCCATAACCATTTACGGCGGTGGGCAATATCTCTAAAGAAACTCCCCAGATTCTTATTCTACAGCAGTTGCTAAAGAAAAGAGAGGAGAAGGCTGGAGAAGTCCTAGAGAATTCTGGTCTGGCAATATGAAGTCTTTCGAATACATGAAATGTTGAAGTATGAAACTCTGTAAATTGCAAAGATAAACAATTCCTTATCCTCATCATAGATTTTAAATGAAGAGAAGGCCCTTGATTGCACATAACAGTCGGAAAAAGACTTATGCTCAGTCACAATGTAAGGTGTTACAAGAGAAGCTTTCAACTCTAGTAAGAAAAGCACTCACTTTAGTTGCCCCGTGCATATGTAAGCTAATCTTGGTTCGACTTTACCTTCATCACTTGGTATTTCGAATCCAGCAATGCAGAATTTATAAAAGCTGTCCAGATTCAAAAGGTTAGCCCTGAAGATTTCAAGTTTCTTGGAGTTTCGACAAGAAGGTTCAAGGAGAGTATTGCTGCCTAGTTCGATTTTTACCTTCCTTCCCTAGGTATTTTCGAATTCAGCAAGCAGATTTTGGGTTTCTTCATCCAGATTTCTATGTTCTTTGCTAAGTTCGAATCCAGCAATTCATCTTGAGGTTCGGCCAACAGCTTATATATTTTAATCATCTAGCTTTCGTGGATGTTTGGAAATTTATGTTCTTGAAGATTCAAGTTTTTGTCTTGCTGTTTGTTACTTGTTTGGGCAATTAATTCAAATTTTCTTTCCCCCTTCAAATTTGAATTATTCAAACTGGCCCTTCAGTATCACAGCATTGTTCCCTGCCTTTTGCAGTCATACCTTACCCGTTTTGGCCAAGAATTCAAAGATTCTCTGTACACGGTTAGGCCAAAAATTCAAAAACTTCCCCAGATAGTTTTTTGAATTCCAACCCGTGTTCTTTGCCTATTTATCGTCGTACTCAGGCATATTACATACATTTCGAGTTTTCTTGCAAGAATTTAAGCTGGCAGTAGCTTATTTCTTCACTTATACACTACCCGTTTGGAGGTTCCCGGGTTCGAAATCCGCTGCTGGTCATCTAACTTCTTCCATACGGGTCCCTTCGTTAAGCATTGATACGGATTTTGCTCTTAATACCAAAAATACTGCCTATTTAAAAGCTATGCAAATTTTTGTTAAATCTATTAGGATTCAAAGTTTTATCTTTCAAGATTTCAAGTTCCTTGAAGTTGTGAAGCTCGGCCAGCATGAATATGAATTGTTATTGAAAGATTCAGGTTCCTCATCTCCTCTAGGAAGATTTGAAATCAGTCGACAGTTTGAGACACCTAGTGTACTTAATTAACCGAAGTCGTATTGTCTTGATCCACGCTCCGTCTCTTGTTTTGGATCATTATATCATTGTAGTGTCTTATTTTGTACGCCCATAGTAGTAGTGTGGTACTCAAAATTTTGATAAGTACAATTTATTTACCCGATCAAAATAAACAAATAAATCGTATGTTACAAAATTGTTCTCAACTCGTAGTACTCTACACGATAAAACAAAATTGTGTCACACCCAAACTACCAGAACAGAAGGCAACAAGGAGCTCAATAAAATTCTAGTTTTCCTGTTATTAGGATAGGTGGGTTGATCTCGATGCGAGTAGCCATTCCTTGTGTGTGCAGATGGGGCAACGTATTCGCTTCTTTGGCTGGAATTCCTTCAGCAGTCCATAATGTGACATGGGGCCATTCGTTCTTTGAACTTATTTTCTCCCCATCAACTGAGCCAGGTTCAGCTTCCAATGCAGCCAATTTATCAGAGAATAATAGCGCTGTCATCCCAACTGGGACTTGCTGGTTAAGATGCGAAGCATAACTCGCTAAAGCAGCTACACCATGACTTCTCTTATGAGCAAGTGTCAGATGAGCCTTTGCAAGAGTGCTCTTCAAATTCTGGTTTTTAAGGAAAGCTTCGGCCCGAGGATCCTTCCCACTTAACTGTTTCAACCATAAAGAATTCAAATGTGAAAAAGTGTTCACATATATGCCATACAAATGCAATCCCTTGCAGTTTACTCTTGGAGGAAGATATGCCGGGAAAAAAATCAAAAACAGCTAATGCCAGGAAAGACAAGGTAATTTGAGAAAGATTTTAATGCTGACAATCAGGTTCGGACTTGTATGGAGGCCAGTTACCACAGAATATCTTACTAATTGAATGCACAACAACTGAAAATAACAAACTAGCCGTGTAGGTAGGTGAAAATAGAAAATGATTCTCCAACAGACAAGTGAATTTTCAGGATCAATTTTAATAGACCTGTTTGTGAAATTGTTAGGCTATCAATAAGAGTAAGCAGCAATGAGGTTAACAGTTAAGAAAGCAAATGTTCACTTACATTGTCAAGGAGACGATGAATTTCTAAAACAGGCAGCGTGATGGCAGCAAAAATTTTGGTTCCAAAATTCCGCCTCTCAGTACTAGGAGGCGTATACTCCCCTTTTGCAATTGACTTAATTTGTTCCAGAACCTTTTCAACAGCAAATTCAAACGGGACCTGGAAATGTACCAACATCATCAGTTGTTAGACTCGCGTACTGAAGGCTTACCACAATTTTTTTCTCTGAGATAACAAGGCAAGAGACTCAGGTCAACCACGGAATCAACCTTAATGCCTGCCTTACGTAATGATATGGTTAAAAAACCTTGAATTCTGGACCCGACAGAAGCAGATACGTGCCCACATGACAGTTGTGCCTGATTAATTTACTTATATCTGAACCAAGACAAAAGCAGAGAGGTGCATACATGACATCAAGTTCGGCCTGATTATTTTACTTTGTCATTTATGATTTCAACTAAATTAAGGACTTAATTGCATATTTTATTCCTTTCATGCTTTCTTTTATTCCTTTGTTCAGTTAAAAAGACCTAGAACCATATAGTTGGAAGTTGGTTGTTGTTATTGTTGTTGTTGTTGTTGTTATTATTACTAGTACTACTACTAATCAAAGAACAGAACTTGGCTGCTGCCAACTATCTGTTCAGTGTTTTCATTTCCTTATTGCCGCCACAGGTAAAAGCACAACACCACACCAAAATTCTGATAGAAAAGTATACAGAGTGAGTTTTCTTATTACGAGTGATTTAGCTCAATAGCTGATACTCAATAGGAAATGCATGTGGGTAGCAATATGTCAACTCCCAGCTAAGGACTGAGCATATTAATCCAGTTCCGATAAAATGACCTAAAATTTTGGCTTTTCAATAGCAAAGGGAATCCTTCTTTCCCCTTAATACATGTTTTGGTATTGCAACCTCTGCCATATGACCTAGCTACAACTTCATATTTTGATTTTGCAGAGAAAACTAAGTAGCAACAACGAGATTCACTTGTTTGAGGTGAATATGAAATTCACCAAGTCAACATAAACCATAAAACTGACCTGTATAGAATTAAGATATTCAGCATTCTCTTGAAAGGTCTCGCGCAATTTCTTTTCCCATTTAGCCCACTCCTTCGCATATGAGCCTTTTGTGGAATCCAGTCTACCAGAAGAAGTAAGAACTCGTGTCAGATGACATAATAAAGTAAAAGGTCAAGTACTAGGCCCCATCTCACCTTCAACACAGAAATAGAAACAATAAAAAACCCTGTGTGAGGATAAAATCAGCAAAAGGAAACGTAATTAAACTAAATCTAGCATCCTGACATTAGAATGAGTGGAGCACAGATAACATCAACTAAACAATAACCAAACAGTCTTTCAGGCATGTAGAGCAGATAAAATACTGACCTTCCGTGTCTGTTAGTGTGAAGATTGTAAAGGTTTATTCCCTCCTCCAAAGTAGATCTCAAATTTTCAGGCAATGGAGACCTTCACGAGCAGAGACGAGTAAAGGAAAAAAATATTTTTTTAGTCCTCGGCAAGAAAATAAAAACTAACAGAAAGAAAATCAAGTCATTCAATTCTTTTGAGTAGCCTTTGGCCTGCTAAAAAGCACTTTATGCCTACTGTTCTCGAGCAGACATTAAGTGAGGCAGTAAAATAACCTAAAGAAAGCAGATTGCAGTAACAGAGTGCAGCAGCATACGTGTTATGCCACCATAGGAGAACTGTGTTTATTTGTCTCCTATTTTCCTCTCTCTACGGAGATTTCAGGCTCTGTAGATGATACTAGTTGAGCCTCGCTACCTTTTCTAGTGTAAGAATATAACTAAAACTATAGAATGAAAGGACGAATCTTATTCAAGCAGGTACATCAAGGTGTTATGGATGAAATTGGAAACCTGTCAGATTTTAGTAAAGGCATCTTCACAAGTGAGCCAAACCTTTCAATAAGCTCAGTCTCAAACTCCTTGCGACTCTGGTGAATATTTAATTAACAATGACATTGTCAAAAATCTATTACATGATTAGTGTGAAAATTATAATTACACGATAAAGTCATAAAGAGCAGCACCTTGCCATCATAAAGATGGTAGAACATTAGCAACACATAACCAGCATTTGGAGATGACTTGTCAAGATTCCCCTACAAGGGAGGAGCAAAGCCAAAATACAAATTAGCAATATCATCTTGATTTTTCTGGAAGTGGAGAACTTGTCCAACACTAGTTAGAAAGACTGTGATTACCGGATGATTAACACGGTGAAGTACTCGAAATATGAAAACAGCAAGTGCATCAAGAGAGAATGGATTTGATTCAGTCCCTACATTTTGGGGCCAAAGAAAGATAGGAAAAATATACCAAAATAATAAGGTATCAGAATAAAGCTCGTATATTCGAAGACACAAAAAATAATAGATGATTCGGAGAAGATGTCAAATTAGCTAAAAACTAAAGGCCTTAGTATGAATTCAGCATAGATAATACATATCTCAAATTTAATGAAAAAAGCACTTCACATAGCACTCACCCAGTATATTGCAACGACCATTAGCATGTCAATCACGTTGCGAAAGCTAAAATTTTACATGCTTAATGAGAAGGAAATAGAAGTAAGAAACCAATGCACATTGCCTGCACCTTGGAGTTCTATTCACATTTATTTTCATCAGAACAGTATCAAACACTTTGTAAAATCTGATGAAAAAGGTAGAATTATGGATTCATGGAAGTATATCAATGTCAGCTCCAGCTTTTGGTGCAACGCAGATCCAAGGTAGACAGAAAAGAGATTTTAGCTATCAGCTTGACAAGTCCACAGTAACTAGTCTGATGACTATACAGTAGCTACAAACAATTGTTAAGCCTTCAAACTAACACAACATACAGCTCATTAAGGAACACAGTATTTCGACGAACACTTAAATTTGTACATCTGGATAGTTTTCATCATTTGATAAGCAAATGTGATAAACTGTTGTAGCAATGAGAAAATACCTTCTGAATCAGGTACTACAGGTATTGCAAATGCTTTGGTGCTGCGACACATGTCCTCAATCTACAAAGATTAGCAACAATGATGATTTATTCACAGCAGAGAACTAGTCAACATAGCAATATAGAAAAAACCCCACCCCACCCTCACCCTCACCCCACTCCTTTGTTGTGCTAAGATAATCTGAGGCAGGAAAAGGCAGTATCGGAATCCCCGATCACGTGCTTTGATGACGGAAACAGAACAACTCATGTTGGTATCAGTACTTGGCAGTTGCCAATACAGATAATGTATGAAAACATCATGTCATCCAGGCATCTCTTAGCATTATTCCGTACTAGCCTATTATCATCATGATTCTTGCAGTTGACAAGATACCCAGTGCTTCCACCTTCCATACATACCACCATTTTCTTCACAAATTACACGATCTGCATAAAACTATCATCCGAGAAGCTAAGGAATGAAACAAACAAAATCACCTGTCTCCAAACTTCTTCGTTGGGTGCATTTTTGTCTGCCAACAGAATTGAAAAGGGGTTTCTTCGGCGTTCTTCAGCAACCTTCGCCCAATATTTTCCTGTCATTTACAATAAGACAAATTGAATTTAATGTTAAAATTATGTAAACAATGAGGTTTGGCTTGATGCAACAGAAAAAAGGAACATTAGGGATTTCTCTAGGAGAAGGGATCCTTAATATACTATTCTCAAGTTCTCAATACAAAGACTTGAGGCTACAAAAAGGAAAAGTAAGTGATGAGACTAGAGTGACTTCAAAAAAAATAAAAAATCAATCTTCAGAAAAAGAAATGTAAACTAAATTTTTTTTACATTTTACATCTCTTCTTTATTCTTATGCCATTAATATAATCTCAGTAACTAAAAATTTCTCATTTAAGCCAAACTTTGGCTTCTTAATTTTTTATATAAGCCCAGTTTTTTCTTTTTTCGATTAAAAGAACAAGAGAGATAAGTGCTATTTTCTTAAACAAGTCAGGTAGAAAGTTCGTTATCATGAGTTTGAACTTAGTTGAACACCCAGAGATATAGGTTCTCTTATTAGTATCATGTCAGCATCAAGACTTCAAAAATGAATACCAGAACAAGGACTCAATGTCAACACCACCACCAAACCGAGAAACGTCCACATTTAAATAAGTCATCACAAATTTATTAGACATACAACTGCTTAATGAATGGTATTGTAATATTTTCAAGAACAGATCCTTTATGACAACCATAATGAAAATAAAGGAGAGTAACTGAAACATCAAACTCGATACCTTTGATAAGATCACCCATCAAGGAACGGACAGGACGATCATCACCAAGTCCACCAGGGGCGCTTAATATCTCTTTGCAAAGTGCGGACTTAGCACAACCAGGTATTCCTAAAAAGTGACAATACATGGTGCAGGTCAAATTATACAAGTGTTGAATTTAAGAATATAGGAATTGAATCAATTATCTGCTAAGCTAATAGGTCCCCCAGCAAGAAATGGAGAATTCAATGACCAGGCATATACTGTTTCTTCCTAAATTCAATAACATAGAGAACTAAATCAGAAACTTGTAGAGTCATGATTACACTTGATGCATACCACAGGAAAGCAGAGGAAGGAAATAATTAGAAGAAAAGGCTAGTTTATGCATGGTAAAGATGTGACTAAAACGTTCCTAGGAAGTTGATTACTTTTCCCTTTTTGTTTTCCCTCTTCCTCTATTAATGTCAGATGATGAAAACAGGAGGGAGAAAACAAAGAAGAGAATGTCATCACCCTGGCCGAAGGACAATACTTAATTTTTTCTTATTCATAAATGTTGCTCATAAGAGATATTTGGTTAAATGGTCACCAAAGCCAGAAACCAGAATGAACTCGAGTGAGGCAGTCCAATTCCTCACAGATGGCAGATGTGGGATAACATGTGATATATTGGTAAACACATGCAGCAAGGTGCTGGAAGAAAGAAATTTGACTACAACAAAGCATTTTTCCACTCCTTTGATATCCACGTTTGACCACTGATTAAGGTGGAGCAAAAAACACCTGGCAATATAATAAAATCTGTAGCCAAGAGCAGCAGCTTGAAATAAATTGAATTGCCAATTCAAGAGGTATTTTCAAGATACCAGATTTATAAAGAAAGCACCATCAGAGTTGACATCAGCTTCTTGCAAATAGGTTTTTTTTTTTTAGTTTTAAGATATTTGCGTCAAAATATCACAGAAACTCTTCCTAAATGGACCCCTAAGTTGACTTTTGTAGCTTTGGCATATTAAGCAGATAAGTTGCCATACTTTTTGAGGGGACTTCAATCAAGGTGCACCCTTGATTCCTTACCTTTTTTCATCTAGTTGTGAAGAATCCAAGATAAAGTTCTTTTATGTATATTACTTGATCATGACACAAATTTTAGTTGATGAGGCTAGGAATAGGATAAATTGTAAGTTGGAATTTTGCAGCAATTCTTTGGAATATAAATGTTTTAGGTCAAGAAAAACTTAGACTTCATACAAAGAATTAAGATGGAATATAAAGGCTTTAGATTAAGCAAATTGTAAGTTCCAACACCGTCATAATAGAAATGAAGATGACAGTGGAATCCAAATGGATATGTGCCCTAAAGTGTAAATATTTGTGCATATAGGTTCCTCATAAGTAATGGCTTAACATAGGATGTACTACACAAGACTAAAGTGGGCGGAAGAATTAGTTAAGTGCTACATGGACCCGGTGGTCATAAGACAAGTTTATGGAATAATTATCAAACTATTAATGCTTATAACACCGACTGTTGGCAGTCATAGCCAGAATGCTCGTGATGAATTATAAATGTAACAGAGTGAATATGTTGCTATATTAAACTGTACAAAATATGAAATGAGAATCCATGTCAAAATGAAATGTTGCTGAAGATAAATTATGCAAACAATGTCTTTAAATGGTTGAGCTATGTTCTACACAAACAGTAAAAAAAATCATATTCACAGAAGCATGTGATTCCAATGGAATAGGTTAGAAGAGAAAGAAGTATACCAAAATTGACATATTCTAGTGTGATTGAAAAAGATTTTATTTTACTGACCCTTCAGTGATATATAATGATCGATCAAACAAACTTGAGAAAAAAATTAGGCAGTTGATCTAGGTTTATTGGTAAATAAGGCTTCGCTATTTGGAATCGATAATTGATGATGTTGCATACTCAATTTATTCTTTCTCATAGCATTACGCTGCTTTAAGATATGGGAAGGGGTATAGGACATGTGCGTAACTCTTACCCGGAAAGAAGACAATGAGACCCTCATCTTTCCTAATAGCTTCCTTCACAGAGGGGATTGGACTTGAATGTTTCATTTCTGTTTCTGGCTCGAGATCACCCTCTTCATCTCTCCCGGCCTCGACAATAGCCAAGAAATCTTCAGCTCTCACTGAACTTCCAGCAGATCCTATCAGAGCTTGATTTTGTGGACTGCGCTTTGCATACTGTTCAAGGAAAGGCTCGGCTTCGCTAAGGTATATTGATGATGACAGCTGTTTATGTCCATATTTTCTTCGTATGAATACAGCCCTTTACACAAGAAAAATCATTAGCAAATATTGGACCATAACTCCTGTGAGAATGTAAAGAAAATTACAGAAATACCATTCATCGAGCATCTTGCTGAGCTCCCTTTGCTTTGCAGTTGATGTATTCCATATCTTCATTTGCCTAGAATGACCAAATAATGGATATGGAGAGGTTATAAAGAAATCAATGCAACTCTCTGAAGACTTACCCTTATGATTTGTAGAAAGACACAGACAATATTAGTTATATATAAGGCCATAGGCATGATAAAATTGTTCACAAGGACATAATTAGATGTGGTAATATGACCTTTCCAGTAATATTCTAATTGTATAATAACAGAATTCATAAGAAAAGGGAGGATCCTAAAGGGCAAGAGTTTGCATTGCAGCCTAAAACACGAGACAGAATTAAACCTGATTGAAGTCCCAAAGAATTTCAATTTAAACTTTGCTTCGGTATTTTGACATCACCAAAGATTTAATTGACCCTATAAGTGCATTGACCTAGATTTGT